ATCGTATTCTAAAAAACCAAAAAATGGTATCCCGGGACCGGGAAACCAAAATTGGTTCTTATTAGTAACAAATGCAGATACCCTTTTTTCTTCGGTTCTGTAGACTTAGAAATACCCTTTTCCGTATCCTAGAATACCCAAAGGGCATTTTGAAATATCAAAGAGGTATCTTACAAAACCAAATTGGTTTTCCAGAATACGGAAAAGGGTATTTCTAAGTCTACAGAACCGAAGAAAAAAGGGTATCTGCATTTGTTACTAATAAGAACCAATTTTGGTTTCCCAGTCCCGAGATACCATTTTTTGGTTTTTTAGAATACGATTTTTTTTTAGAGAGTAGCTTCTAGTTGACACTTTAAAAAAGTGGCATTAGCTTCTTAATGGCACTTCTGAACGTGGCAATTGCATCTTGTTGACATTTCTGTCAGTATTAATAGACAGAAAAATAAAACAGCATAGTCAGCTGTGTGAAACTAACCATGCTAACTTGAGCGAAGCAGACCATTTTTGCACTTTATTAAATATTTTTCTATCTGAATAAAACAATTTAATATTTTTCTATCCTAGGCGAAAAACTTCAATATTTTTCTATCTTACAATAAGAAAAATATTTATTAGTTCAGATAGAAAAATATTTAATTGATTTTTAGTATTAATCATTTGCTATTTTTCTTTGTAACATTTTTCGGCATACCCGTTAAACCAACTATTCACCGCTAGTAACCGCCGATTAACCGCTCGGTCAACCGGTGGTTTTCAGCCGATTATTGCTACATGGGTCGTTTCTGCATTGGAATTTAATGGAGAATTCATCACACCACGATTTGAAACGTGTGGAAAATTCTTGATCAATCTTCATTAAAGATCGACAATGATCGAAAGAAATTCTTCTTCACATCGACTGATCGAAGATCATTGGATGAACAACGTCCTTTAGAGTCGTCTCGAGCTCTTCGACAACTGATTAAGACGAATTGCATCGATCGACCGTTCCTCGAATCGAAATAAGTTTGTTTTTCTAGCTGAACGTTTCATGCAATGCGATGATGAGCTGCTGCTGAACCATTTAATCGGCGACAATGACGCACGATGATGGGGCAAATCTGAGAAAGTTTTCTTGCTAAACGATTTTCTTTTAGCAGATTCAAACGATAATCGATGATAATAGAGGAACCATCTTGTGTCTTATTCCCTCACATTCTCTCAAATGTTTCGAGTGCTCAATATCTATCATCATTTTTACTCGGAGGAAACCCTCTGTGACCGGTCTTTGAGGGTAAAGTCTTCAAAAATAAAGGGTCTGGATATTTATTGTGGTTCCGTACGCTCAATGGTGACCAGTTTCTCCACTTCACTGCGAATGAATCATTCGCTGATTCCTACGCTCGAGTTTTTCTTGAGAAAATCTTGTCGGTGTAGACCTACGGTCGAAATGTGAAACTACTCTCTGTAGACGTCACTCTTTTTCTTTGGAAGAATATAATACTTAACGTGCGTGAGGGTGAGGGTTTCTTTGAAGTGAAGTCGCGGCGTAAAGAAACCGGACAGACAGAATGCTTTTAACTCGATTTTTTGGACACTTTTGGGAAGGGATTACCTTCGCATCCCGAAACAAAGTAGCTCAGAGTGTGCAGAACTGGAAAACGTATCTGGTGCAAGTGTTTATAAAGCAAAGGGGACGAAAGTAGTTTACGAAAGGATGAAGTCCTATCCAACCTTATCTATCAGTTTGAAACGGAGCATCTTTTCTAAAATTGTGCATTCTATCTGGCATAACCCACCTCGACGAAATTTTTAAGAAAAACTGACCAATGTCATTTTAAAAACGTTTTTTCCCCATATATTTGCTAGTGGATATAAGGCTCTCTACGAAAACCGACTATCTTATCGCGTTCAAATTCTTTAATTTTGCCTCTAATTCAATTGTTTGAGAAAGTAAGACAACTGTCTTTGGGAAAAATTCCGTAAAACAGTACTAAAACAAAGTTTTCCCCTCCTTCAAAAGCCTACACGGAGTTATACAGTATTTCGAGTGGTTTATCTTGTTCAGAACTGAAAACTCGATCCAGCACAGTTTTTTTGAAACAAGTAGAAGACTTCTGTGGCGCTTGTATATTTAAAAAAGTTTTGCGTCATGGTGAGTCAGGCGTATTTCAGCACGAAAGTGACGAGCTATTTTTGCAAAATTAAATTAAAATCACGGGGGCTGTATAATCTAGATCAGTAGAACTTTGATACAAACCACACAGAGATAATTTACTATTGTTCTAAGTTTAGTTCGATCTTAGGACCGAAGAACGGCGTAAATGGCGTTTATTTTGGCATCGAAGTTTTTTTCGAAGAAAAGTGGCGAGTCAGTCTTCTATACTAAAGTGGCTTCTGTTCTTGGCCAAGCCATCCGGGGAATTTATTTCCGCTTGCTGCGCTACTGTCTTTCTCCACATACCTCTTTCGGAGGCTGTGCCAACCGAATCCATTCAAAATCCACAAACTTCACTTGATTACTAGCATCATACAGCAAGTTATTTCGACCTCCATCCAGATGAACAATATTTGCTACCCACAATTTCCGTAGAGCGACCAACGTTGCATGAATAAGTTGTTGCAACTGTTCACTCGTGACTTTTTTCGAATTCGAATCATCAAATTTCTTCCATCCTTGTCCAAGAAACTCGGTGACAACAACGTTTCCTACTTTAACTTCAATGACAGCAGTTTTTGGTCCCAGTTCCTTGGCAGCTGGCAATTCTGGACAGTGATAGGCTTTCTTGGCGACGTACGATTCAGCTGGAATTAATTCTTTTTTGCCACGACAATCGCCTTTTTCTTTGAGTGCGGCAGGACGATGTGTGCAAGCCATGTTTGAGAAGCCGACATCTGGCGGAGGGGTTGCTCTTGCTTTGCGTTTTGTTATACTTTCTCCTTTCTTAATTAGATTAGCAATAAAACTTTTTTTCTTTTCTTTCTTTAACAAATTAATTGATATAGGGAACTAAATCCTTAACTTTTCGAAAAAGAAATTTTTTTCCTCATTTTTTATTATAAGGAACTAAATCGTGCAGGTCATATAATTGGTATAAGCTTTACTCTGTCAGAAACCAAAGCGGGAAATCTTCCATTATAATATTCTAAACTAAAACTATCAAAAAACATAAAATCAGTTTTGCACGGACAAAGATTCGAGCACATGAACTTATTAAAAATACATCCATCTTCAGTTTTGAAGATGAATCTGTCGATTCGAAAGCTCTGATTGTAATAAACTTGTAGTATCCAAGCAAATTAGCTGCAAAAATGAATACATTTCTTCTTCAAGTCCTACCACTATCACTCAGATATATAATTTTTTAATGTATATAATTGTTCATCACGTAGAACAGCAGTATAACTACGCTGATTGGCTTCATTTTATCCTCATATTCCATTTCTCAACAAAGCAGTCTTCTCATAAACCGTTCATACGTCCACCAGGTATCTGTTTAGTATAATATTGTAATAATGAAGGAAATTCATACCAGTAACACTGAAATAGGCGTAGAATTCTTGCGCCCCTGTTGCGAACCGATGCCCTTTTCTATTCTACTAGCTTAACACATCATGGTCACAAGATTTGAAGTGAAATTACTCTACTAACTGTTTGGAAAATGCATAACTTCAAAAATTTCTTAGCAGGTTTCCAGATAACCTGTTAGAATCCAGCTGGATTTTGGCAAAAGTCTCACATTGAATAAATCTTATACCAAATCTTACATTTGTTCAGTTGTTCACGCTCTATTCAGTGCTTTCTTCAAAAGAGTTTAATCGCTTTTTTAAGCCAAGTATTTCACGTTAAAAAGCGAAAAACATTGTTGTTGTTTTTTTCTTTAAACTTTAATTCTCATCTCTCCAGTCCAATGGCCACTGAAATCGGGTTATCCCATTACATCTGTGTCCAAAGGTACCGAGACAATGAGCATTAGATAGCTTGTCCAAGACTATCACGCGACCGCCGTTGCCGGGATTCGAACTCCGTATCTTTGAAGTACGTTGTCTGCCCACTAGCCGACTGAGTCACGCTGCTCAAAACATTGTTTCCATGGCTTCTTGAAACAAATCGAGCCACTAGACATCCATAATAAAACTTTCTGATTACTCTTAGCGTCTCTTGCTTGAGTTATTGGTACAATATGTCAGCGAGCCCTACGAATATTCAGAAACGTTAAAATACCGAAGGTCTCCATCGATATAGGCGGTGAAATACTTTCAAAAAGGAATATCGAATAAGGAACGTATCGAATAAAGAACATTCGTTATTTTTTTGCATAGCAGGGTAAAGGAGTGTGAGTAAGAGCGACTTCGTAACAATAGAGTATTTCCGTTTTTGTTGATCATTTCCCTCCATCGGTCTTTGTCTAATGTATCTCTTCTTCAATTTTTAATATTCAACTTTTCGATATCATCCTTGATCTTGTCATGCCATCGTTTCTTCACTCCACCTTGGGCTCGCCGAGAGTTTGGAAAATTAGAAAAAAGAATCTTTTTTGCCAGCGTAGGCTCGCCGCTAGTATTCTCCATTCGATTTACGTGCCCAAACCATCTCAACCTATTTCTTCTCATGATGTTATCCAGACTTGGTTGACCAGTTAATTCTAATACCAGATCGTTCGGCATTCGATCGCCTAATGTAGCGTCAAGTAGTGTTCTTAGACATCCCATATAGAATGTTTGTAGGCGTCTTTCTTTATTTACTGTGAGTGCCCATGTCTCACTTCCATGCAACAAAACGGGCAGTAGTGTTCGAAATATTTTGACTTTTGCTTCAACCGACACACTTTTCCTATACCAGATAGGGGTTCGAAACATATTAAAAGCTTTCGAGGCTTTTGATATTCTTGTTTCAATTTCCTTGTCTTGCGTTTGATCTCTCGACAGGTTACATCCAAGGTATGTGAAATTCTCCACCTTCCCGATCTTCTCGTTTCTAATCACAATGTCGAAATCAACACCATCCGTTTCTTCCTCGGTCTTTCTTCCCGCTGCATTTTCTTTTAGTTGTTTCAGTGACATTATGCAGATCGTTTTAATGTTCATTGTTAAACCAAATGTCTTTTTAAACCCAATGTCAAACTAAAAAATGTCTTTTTTTTATCGGCTATTGTTAACTAATATTAAAATTTCATAATTATATCAAAGTTAAGCACAACGGTCCGGAAATTTCGAAATATTTAATTTCCTCTATGATTGAAATTGAATTTCAAATCGTTTGTCTTCAGCTATCGTTATAGCCACATATGAACATAATTACCACGAAGTGCGTATGTCAAATAAAAGTTTATTTTGACTGTGTTCTCTCTTAACCAATTTTCAACCAATGTTTGAGATGATAAGAAAGGAGATGATCACAAAAACGCTGATAGTATTATTAATTTAGCCAATCTTTTGAAAAGAATTGGCATGATGAAGTAAAATTCATCAGCTGTGTGAACATTATAAATCGTTAGCGATTGCAAATTTGGGAAAATACGTGTAATTAATTCAGCATTGTCGTCACTTAACCAGATTTTGCCAGGACCATGTAAATCTAACTCATTGATCATCATATTTGTCAGTTTTACACGAATTCCATTAGAACTTTTGATAAAACAAAGATGTTCGACACTTAGCGTGAGGGAGCGAATATTTGGCGATAAAACTAACAAACGTTCGAACGTTTCAAATGGCCATTGATTATCGACAAACAAAGTTAGTTTCTTTAAGTACGATAATTCAGTTATCTTACCAAGATCATCTAAAAATGATTGTCTTAGAAGTTGCGACTTGTCTGAAAAACATAACTCTTCGACATTAAGATATTGGCATTTGTTGAAGCGTAGTTGATTATGATCATAAATGTGCAATTCATTGACTTCAGTATTAGTTTTTGACACAATAAATTCGTCATTCGTAACCAGTTCAGTTTTGTCTCTTAAAAAAGTAACAAAAGCTTAATAGACAAATAATCAAACTACTATTATTATTATAAATAATCAAAGTTGTTTTCAACTTTCTAATATGTTGGAAAAGCGAAGTGACCTCTAACCACGAATAGAACATTGGAGAGAAAGCTGCACTACATTGCGTATACTACTGTATAAGTTGCACTTGTGTTTTACACGCCTCGAGCAATTAATCGCGAGGGTTGAGAAACAGCACAGAATAGTTTACATAGCAAAAACCTTAAAAAAATTTAAAAGCTTCATAGTTTCTATGCTCAGTGCATGCAAGAAAACTTCACAAACGACACATCATACAAAATGAATATAGGAACTTTATTTACTATACTGATTTTGCTCCAACTTAGTTTGAAACACATCTATGTTTTCTAGAGGCCAGAGTCTCTTTACAAGTGTTTAAGTTGACCGTGCCTTCACTCTATTATTTTAATTAAAAAAAACAAATAATTATTGATAAACTACACACAGATCATGTATAAAAAAAAACTCTGCATAATGTGTTAAAAAACAAGATCTGATTTGTGTAAGAAGACACTCTGTAATACACACGTAAAAAGAGGATAATGATAAAAATAATGCACAATGCATATGCAATGTATCCATAAACATTTATCCTTCTCTTTTTCTATATAGAGGTCGGACAGTAGCAGCTAATTAAAGCAAAAACTTTCAAGAATAAAAAATCATCTGTGGATTACTGATCTATTAAAAAATACAGTCCAGACACGGCTATAAAAGTTAAACAGAGTACTGAGATAATTTTAAAATTTAAGTACAAAAGTGGTCTTATCTTAAGTTGAATCATGGCGTGACTTTAAGACTCAAGCCTGATGATCCAAAGAAAATATTAGAAGTTTTTTCAAAAATCCACGTTTGGGTATCTTTTAAAAATTAAAACTAACCAATTTTTGACAAGAAGTTAAATGGGTTATGGTTTAAAGGTTATAATTAGAGTTAAATCGTGAGACTCTGTCTTGTTGATTCATGTAAAACATCTAAGGTTCTTTTCGCATCCTTCATTCGTAGGAGTAAGAATAAATTATGCTCTCGATTTCCCGCTGTATCATTTCAAACGCTGTATTACCCATTGAGATACTCGATACTTTTGGACAAAATCATAAACAAAGTTTGAATAAAAATGTTTTCCACGCAAAGGACTATGACTGATAGGCAACTACGTTCAATGGACGAAGTAACTACGTGCTTTCGGTTATAATTTGCGTTTCTTTTTTGCGCTCCTAAAACAGACCAACGAATGCACAACGTTTTCTGTCAAAGTTCTTTGTTCGAACATGCCCAGTGTCGAATACTTTTCTTAAATATACTTCAAGTTAGAGATTTTTACGTCGTTTCTTTTTGTACGCGAAAGCAATAATAGATTTAAACATGTACGCGATGGGACTACAAATGCTTTCTTGTGCATTCTTAACGGAATGTCTTTAGTCTAGTGTACATGTTTACATTTCAATGGTGCTAGAACCTTTAAAGAGTTAGTCACCTGAACTTTTTTGTAAATAAAATAAATGTAGAAAGTGAGATAATTATTCTCTCTTTATACAGAGAGAAAAGTCGTCTTCCTCTATTTCTGTGGTTACTGTAGTCCACGAGAAACGCCCACGGAGAAAACGACATAGAAACATTTGCAAAAATTTGAATAAGCAATTTTTTGTAGAAAAAATGATCACAGAATCCTCCCCATCCCACCCATAATGGAAAAAACCGTGAAAGATTGTACGTGTCGACATTATATTTACGCTTCAAAATTAGAAGATCCCGGGTCGTCTACACTCTAAAAAAAAAGCGTCGTTTACTAAACCTTAAAGGGTTTAGTAAGCGAACTAAACCCCTTAAAAAACCCTTAAAGGTTTTTTCGAAAGGTTTATCATCGATCTTAAACCTTCAAA